TGCAAATTGAGAGGAATGTTCCTAAGGTAATGGCAACAGTGTTTATATCTTACTCCAACTCCATTGCGTGTGAGTGGAAAAGTCAAGCTTTTAGGCATGAGGCTTCTTAATTTCCCAGTCCTGGCCCTGCTTTCCATCCTGGCCTTACCTGGTTTCGTCCCCCAGTGCTGAGCTCCATGGTGAAGGCAGACCAGAGCTCGTTATCCAGCCTCTCTTTCTCTTGACCTTACCTGAAAGACGGTTCACTTGATTTTTAAACGTCAGGGTGGTACTGCCTGCCTGAAGGCTGTTGCAAAGGGCCCCGTAATTGAAATTTCCATTCTAGGGGTTCTCCCATTGTTTTTGGTAGATATGACAGCTCCTTCATTAGGGTCTAAGCTTTTGAAGCAGTGCTGAGTTGGTACACTTTGGCTTTCTGCTCAGGGCTGGGTCCCTGAGTCACAATAGAGGCTCACAATAGTGTTGAATTGCTAATTCTGGGAGTCTGGGTGGCCCTGTCCAGACCCAGCCAGGATTGACTGTCTGGAAAGCTGTGTGATGCTTTTACTCTCCCAATTCAGTTCTTCTAAACTCCTCCAGGAGTCTTTTTTCCTTTCACTTTTTAAATAAAATTTTTTTATTATTGTTCAATTACAGTTGTCCCCATTTTCCCCCCATTACTCTTTCCTGCCCCCCATCTCACCTTCCACATTCAATCCCCTCCTGTTGTCTTTGTCCACGGGTCCTTTATACATGTTCCTTTACTACCCTTCCCCTTCTTTCCTCCGTTATCCCCCTCCCATCTCCCCTCTGGTTACTGACAGTTTGTTCTTTATTTCCATGTCTCTAGTTCTCTTTTGCTTGCTTGCTTGTTTTGTTGATTAGGTTCCACTTATAGGTGAGATGATATGGTACTTGTCTTTCACCGCCTGTCTTATTTCACTTAGCATGATGCTCTCCAGTTCCATCCATGCTGTTGCGAAGGGTAGGAAGTTCGTTCTTTCTGCTATGTAGTATTCCCTTGTGTAAATGTATCACAGTTTTTCATCCACTCATTTATGATGGGCACTTAGTCTGTGTCCAGTATTTGGTTATTGTAAATGATGCTGCTATGAACATTGGGGTGCATAGGTTCTTTTGAATTGGCATTTTGGGATTCTTAAGGTATAATCCCAGCAGTGGAATCGCTGGGTCAAAAGGCAGTTCCATTTCTAGTTTTTTGAGGAAATTCTATACTGTTTTCCACAGTGGCTGCCCCAGTCTGCATTCCCACCAACATGGTACTAGGTTCTTTTCTCCACAACCTTGCTAGCACTTGCTGTTTGTTGATTTGTTTATGACGGCCACTCTGACTGGTGTGAAGTATTATCTCATTGTGGTTTTAATTTGCATTTCTCTGATGAGTAGTGATGCTGAGCATCCTTTCACATGTCTCTGGGCCCTGTGTATGTCCTCCTTGGAGAAGTGTCTGTTCAGGTCGTTTACCCATTTTTTAATTGGATTGCTTATCTTCCTGGTGTGGAGCCATGTGAGTTCTTTATATATTTTGGAGGTCAAACCCTTGCCTGAGGTATCATTGGCAAATATATTTTCCCATACAGTTGACTCCCTTTTCATTTTGCTGATGTTCTCTTTAGCTGTGCAGAAGCTTTTTAATTTGATGAAGTCCCATTTGTCTATTCTCTCCTTTATGTCCCTTGCTCGAGGAGACATAGCGATAAAAATACTGGTGAAATTTTCCTGCCTATGTTCTCCTCTAGGACTTTTATGGTGTCATGACTTATATTAAGTCTTTTATCCATCTTGAGTTTCTTTTGTGTATAGTGTAAGTCGGTGGTCAAGTTTCATTTTTTTGCATGTATCTGTCCAGATCTCCCAACACCATCTCCCCTTGTTATTTCTTCATGTCTAATCTAACCTGCTTTGCTTACTTACAAAGAAGCTCAGTTCCTCATCACTCTTTTCCACCTTCTTAGTCTCATCTACCTTTCAAAATATATATGTTTTTTTTCTTTTTCAGCCCCCTTTCTCTATCAGCCTCAGAAATAGAAAATGGCACAGCTTGTAGTGAATGTTTTTAACAAGTGGAGGAGGACTAAGAATCTTCAAGGAATGATAATTCACCATGGTTGTTTTTAAACCAGGAGAAGGCCTTTTGCCCTTGTTTTCATTCTGTTTGGAAGGATTTCAGAGTAAATCCTTATCCTGCCATATGGGAATAACTGAGTGAAATGGACACTATCTAATCTAAGTATTTTTTTCCCCCTAACACTTAAAACTGTTTTTATGTAAGAAAACATAAGCTGATACTAAGTTTTGTTTTAGGCAAGGTTTGGGAGAAGTTTGAAACTGTAATATGTATACTTTGATAAATTTTATAGACTAGAGCTATGGGTTACAATATAGTCTGTTCTTCAACCATTAAACTCTTTTCGTGCTAGTTATAACTCTAATGAAGGCTGGATTTACTCACCAGCTTGTTCAGTAGCTAAAAGGGTAGGTCTCATCACAACCCTGCTTTGTAAATGCAATTCAGAAATCACAAATAGAAATTTAAAAGGAGAGTTTGATTTGGAAGATTCGTTGTCTTGAAGAAACCCTCTCAGAAATTCACCAGAGACATTGTGGGTCTTAAAAATATCCTCTGATTCCTACCAGTCAGATTTGGCAGCCTGAGAACTTTTCATTATAAAAAATGACAAATATTTTACCAACTCACAAAATGTTGCTTTTTCTTTTGGTATGAACTTTGTTTATGTTTTTAACTAGGAAATTTAGTATACTAATATGATGGTCATTCAGCAAATCTCAGGAGAAGTATTACTCCCTTATTGAGCATTTTAGTAAATGGGTCTTGAACACTGGCTCTGTGAAAGGTACTATAGTGAATGTTTCTGGTGATACAGATATGAATTAATGTTGATGTTTGACCATAAGACATGGAAAGACTTTCTTCATGTCTAAGACTAAGATACTGTAATACAGTGAGTGCCATAGAAAACTTGCCAAAATGCTCTGAGGAATGAGAGCACATGTGGAATTTGTTGAGTCAGTCAACAAATAAAGTAAGTAGAATAAGAGCTTTGATGACTAAGCAGGATATTAGTATGTGAAATTTGGGGGGAGTGGTAAGAGGGTTCTTGCTGGATGAAACATTATTAACAAAGTCTCTGGAGCAGTATAATATGGGGTCTAGCTGTGTTTTAGTTTTATGTAAACAAAAGGGTGCAGTTAGAGATAAAGTTAAATTCCATAGGTTTGAAATGCCAGATTAAACTTTGGTAGGTAGTGGAGAATATTTTTTCCATTATTCCACTCTTTAAACAACTTGAGAGCTGTGTTTTAGAGTAATTAATCTGCCTTCAGTGAGTCACCTTGATAGTGGAGGAAGAGAAATTGGAGTTTGGAAGATCATGGTCTTTTGATCATGACGGGGGGACTATTGTATAGAAGACTAGTTTGGGAAGTTATTACAACGGTTTAGTAGAAATTAGTAAGACTTGCTTGTGCTGGGAAGAGTAGGTTGGAATGGAGGGGTAGAATTGAGAAACATCATGTAGTTAAAATTTCTAGGATTTAGAACCTGATTGGAAGATGAGAAGATTAAGAAAGGGTGGGGTTAAAAAAGACTCCGAAGAGTCAAGCCTGAGAACATCATTAAAAAAGTTAAGTAGTGCCCTGGCTGGTATGGCTCAGTGGATTGAGTGCCTTCCTGAGAACCAAAGGGTCACTGGTTCAATTCCCAGTCTGGGGCACATGCCTGGGTTGTGGTCAAGGTCCCCAGTTGGGGGCATGAGGGAGGCAACCACATATTGATGTTTCTCTCCCTCTTTCTCCCTCCTTTCCCCTCTTTCTTAGAAAAAACCCAAAACCCAAACTGATAGTAACCAGAGGGGAGGAGGGAGAGGGGAGGTAAAGAGGGGAGGGGGATAATGGGGGAAAAAAGAGGAAGAATCATCAAGAAACATATATAAAGGATACATGGACAAAGCCAAAGGGGAGTAGGATCCAGGGTGGGAGGTGGGGATGGATGGGATGGAGGGAGTGGTAGGGGGAAAATGGAGACAACTATACTTGAACAACAATAAAAATGAATAAAAATAAATTTAAAAAAAAGTTAAGGAATGCTGGTAGAAGGTAAGTTCAGCTTTGCTACCGGTGCATGAATGTATGTATGTTCCTCACTGGAGAGCTGGAAATAAAACTCAGGCTGTGATTTGAAATATAGACTTGGGGATCATTAACATAAAGGAAATGGTAGAAGGTGTAGGAGTGGATATGAATTCCAAGAGAGTGTATAAAGAGGAGATGGCCAAGGACAGGGCTCTCAGGGAATGATGGTCTACTTTTAGATGAGGGAAGATGAGCCAAAATTGAAACTATGAGGCCAGGGAAGAGCCAGAAGACTTAGAATCATAAAAGACTGGACAAGAGTTTCAGGAAAGGAAGGGTCAGTAATATCTATGGAAATAAAGAAGTGAGGAAGGTGAGAATTGAGAAATTAAATGTGGAAGTTGAGAAGTTCATGGGTGACTTTCTCAAGAGTGACCTTAGAACTGTGAGCTGCTGGAATGTATTTTCCTTTTAGGTCTAGAGTTTGTTTGGGGTCTATCAAGTGTTTTGGATTTTCCCACTTCTTTAAAATGACACAGATAATGAGGATAGTGTGCGTGGGGTTGTTGGCAGGGGGTGAGGGATGCATAAAAGGTCTTATGATCATGACCAGGGGACTGTTGTATATAAAAAGTAATAAAATTATTTAGGTAAAATGTACCTCGAACTTGCATTTCATTAATAATAAAAACACTAATTCAGCCAAAAAAGGGAGTCTCCAGGGTTTTACATGAGTCGGTAAATAAAACTTCTGCCCAAACTATGTCAATTAAAAAGCTATTCTTCTGCCCCATTTCATTATATGGAACAATGACAATATATAAACAGTTGTTGAATTGATGAGCATACCCCAAAACATATTTAGATTATCATCTTTTTCCCTTCCTTCCAGAGTAAAAGACTGAGCTATGATAGCGACCGGTGGAGTGATAACCGGCCTGGCCGCCTTGAAAAGGCAAGACTCCGCCAGGTCACAGCATCCTGTTGACCTCAGCCCGTCGCCTGCTGCCCAAGAGAAGAAACCAGTCAGGCGTCGGCCTCAGGCTGATGTCGTGGTTGTTCGAGGCAAAATCCGGCTTTATTCCCCCTCTGGTTTTTTCCTCATTTTAGGAGTGCTTATTTCCATTGTAGGAATTGCAATGGCAGTTCTTGGATATTGGCCCCAAAAAGAACATTTTATCGATGCTGAGACATCATTGTCAACAAACGAAACTCAGGTCATTCGGAACCAAAGTGGTGTGGTGGTTCACTTCTTTGAGCAGCATTTACATTCTGATAAGATGAAGATGCTGGGCCCTTTCACAATGGGGATTGGCATTTTCATTTTCATTTGTGCTAATGCCATTCTTCATGAGAACCGTGACAAAGAAACCAAAATCATACACATGAGAGACATCTACTCCACAGTCATCGACATCCACACGCTAAGAATCAAGGAACAAAAGCACATGAATGGCATCTATACTGGTTTGATAGGAGAAACAGAAGTAAAACAGAATGGAAGCTCCTGTGCATCGAGATTGGCGGCAAATACCATCTCCTCTTTCTCGGGTTTTAGGAGCAGTTTTCGGATGGACAGCTCTGTAGAAGAGGATGAGCTGGTGCCAAATGAAAATAAGAGTTTGGGGCATCTTATGCCGCCTTTGCTCTCTGACAGCTCTGCCTCTGTCTTTGGCCTCTACCCACCTTCATCCAAGACAACTGATGATAAGACCAGCAGCTCTAAGAAATGTGAAACCAAGTCAATTGTGTCATCATCCATCAGTGCTTTTACATTGCCTGTGATCAAACTTAATAACTGTGTTATTGATGAGCCCAGTATAGATAACATCACTGAGGATGCTGAGAACCTCAAAAGTAGGTCAAGGAATTTGTCCATGGATTCCCTTGTGGTTCCTCTGCCCAACACCAGTGAGTGCTTCCAGCCCATCAGCATGGTGCTCCCGAGGAATAATTCCATTGGAGAGTCATTGTCTAGTCAGTACAAATCCTCTGTGGCCCTTGGACCTGGTGCTGGACAGCTCTTGTCTCCTGGGGCTGCTAGAAGACAGTTTGGGTCCAACACATCCTTGCACTTGCTGTCGTCACATTCAAAATCCTTAGACTTAGACCGAGGTCGCTCCACCCTAACTGTTCATGCAGAACAACGGAAACATCCAAGTTGGCCTCGGTTGGATCGAAGCAACAGCAAAGGATATGTGAAACTAGAGAACAAAGAGGACCCGATGGAGAGGTTGCTTGTGCCCCAAGCTGCAATCAAAAAAGACTTTACCAATAAGGAGAAGCTTCTTATGATTTCAAGATCTCACAATAATTTGAGTTTTGAACATGATGAGTTTTTGAGTAACAACCTAAAGCGGGGAACTTCTGAAACAAGGTTTTAAGTTAAAAAATACATCATTTTACAAGGCTATATATTTTAAAACTATTTTCAGCAGTGTGTCTTTGTTAAAGCATTGGTTATAAACATTTTTAATCAAATGGTTCATAGAATATTACACCTGGCTGCTGAATTCTATAACGGAGATAGTTATATGTTTGGATTACAAGATACTGTACTCTGTATTATCACATATGATTTTATTTTTTTCCATTCCTTTGAAAGCATGATGTCTTTTTATTAATATGAATACAAAATACTTCCACTTGAATTAAAGCTCATTTTCTTTACTTTTAAGTTCTCTTGTTGATAGTCATATTCATAGAATGAAGTGTCCAGTTTTGAAATGGTAGGGAACCAAAGTGTGGACTACAAGTACCAAATTCAGGCCCAAGCTACAACATTTACTTATAAATGAGTAGGAGTAGAAATCTTAGGTGTGCTTTTCTGAATAATTCTTTTTATGTTGAATTGGTTAAATTATTTAAAAGGAAAAACACCTAGCTTCTGTGCGAGCTAAATAATATGAATTGGTTTAATTCTGTGTGAGCTAATTGATATGAATTGGTTAAGTGGGTAGGTAGGTATTTTTCTTTAACATCAGCTCTATTTAGTAATATTTTATCAAGAAGCCATATATTCAAGAGTCAAGGCTGAGAATACAAGATATTCTTAGGGGTAAGAATCAAAATGTTATCAAGCTATAACTTTAGATATCCAGAATTGAATTTCTTTATGACTGACCTGAAAAGTGAATGGACCAATTAAGTTTTAGAAATGCTACCTTAAAATAATAATAAACATGAAGAAAATGTTGACTAATGAATGAAAATACATTATATGCTAGTTAATGCTAACTAGTCTCAGTTCCTTTTGCTAGTCACTTCTATTATCATCTAATATCCACTCATTCTCACATTCTTATTTTCCCCCAATATTTTTTAGATCTTGTCTTTTGGAAAATAATCAGCTAACCTTGACATTTCTTTTTATCTTCTCATATCACTAGCTTGGTGGTTTAAGAAAATTCAGTCCTTGATAAATTGCCTTGAAATTGGCCTTGTGCAGGAAAGCCTAATGATAATTCCAATGACTTTCTTATGATATAATACATTTTTGGGATTGTGGTTCTCGGTTATTGAAGATGGTAAATACTAAAATGGAATGTTTCCATCAAAGCTTTTTCGTGTTTTCCATTAAGGTAACATATGATTTTAAGAATTGTTTAATGGAATACTTAGGGAAATAACAGGTTTTTCTCAGTACCTAAACATTTCTGAACATCAGTATTCCATTTGTTGTGGAAGAAGAGAAGGAAGATATATTTCTGTTTGTAGGTTCCCACAATTTTGTCTTGTGTTGGCATCATGAACTTGAACCACAGTGTTACTTGTTAGAACATCAGGCCTGTGTATTGTAATAGAGTAGGCTCAATATTTTACCATCATGCATTTAATAAATTTCTGTACTTAATAGAAATTTGTGTTCTTCATACATTTTGCTATAATTTTTAAAATAAAATGTAAATTTCTGTTTAAAGTATTGTTTTTCAAATTTTCAGACACATTCTGCAGAAGGTTGTTAATACTTTAGTGCATGTATTGGGTGCTGTGGTTTTTTATTTTGCTTCTGTTAGATTAGAGAGTTAGGTCCATTTACTTAAGCTATTTTCATATTTTGTTCTCTTGTTGTAATGGTTCATTTTATGTGTCATCTTGACTGGTCTAAAGGATGCCCACATTTCCAGATGTGTCTGTGAGAGTGTTTGCAGAAGAGATTAGCACTGAGTCAGTGACTGAGTAAAGAAGATTGCATTCACCAATCCTGGTGGACATTATCCCATCTCCTGAGGGACTGAATAGAACAAAAAGACAGAGGGAGGGCAAATTTGTGTTTGAGCAGGGACATCCATCTTCTCTTCCCCTTGGACCGTGGTGTGTACACTCGGCTCCCCTGGTTCCCAGGCCTTCAGGTTTGAGCTGGAAGGAACTACATTACCTTCTTTCCTGGGCCTCTAGCTTTGCAGAAGGTAGATCGTGGGACTCCTTGGCCTCCACAATCACGTGAGCCAATCCTTTCTTATAATAATCTCCCTGTATATGTCCCTATCTGTCTTACTGGTTCAGTTTCTCTGAGGAACCCTAATACGATTAGGGTCATTTTCACTTAAAATTTCATCGACTCTCAGAAAAATAACCAGATATATAGTATCTGGCAAAAGTCAGTGATACAGACTTGAAAACAATGGCTCTCAACACCTCTGATGTGACAAATAACTAAAGTCATGTAATTTGCTTAGTTCACCCCTGAAAGAGCTCTAACAATGTGAAGAGGATTAAACAGCATGGGTCTTGGAGGATCCAAATAAAAGAATTGCAGCTTAAAGCAATGATTCTTATTCAGCCTCTCTCCATCAGAAAACCTGAGTTTTATGTTTACCAAACAAATCAGCTTTATCAAATGGTAAATAATTTTCTCATTTTAAGTTAATCAAAGACACATTCTGTAATTAAAGCTTCAGAGGAATATCGCTAACTGATGCTACTGTACTGGAATTTTAATTAGAATTTATTTGTGCATTTTGTGCATCTTCCTTAGGCTTTTTAAATATTGACAATTATTCAGAAACTCCATTTCTTATTGTGGGAAACCTCAGGGATCTGGATCACGGGCCAGCTGCTGCCAAGACAGAGTTTCTAAGATTGTGGCCTCTCTTGGGGGGTGTTGGTTTACTGGGGCTGCCATAGCAAAACACCACAGACTGGGGGCTTAAACAACAGAAATTTATTTTTTCTCAAGCCTGGAGGTTAGACGCCCAAGATCAAGGTGTTTGGTTTCCCCGAGGCCTTTCTCGTTGGCCCGCGGATGGCTGTCGTCTCTCTGTATCCTCCCGTGGCCTTCCCTTTGTGCATGAGTATGTCTGGCATCTCTTTCCTCCTTGTAAGGACACAAGTCATACTGGAGTAGGGCCCCATTCTATAGGCTTCTAACCACCTTAATCACTATTTTCAAAGGCCCCACCTATCTCCAAATGTAGTTACATTCTGAAGCACAGCAGGTTAAGACTTCAACAAAGGTGTTTGGGGGTTTATAATTCAGCCCCTAACACGAGGTGTGCTGTTGAGAAGCGGGACAGCCGAGTGAGTGTTCTTAGCACGCAGTAAGTGAGGAGTACGATGCGCCCCCAATGGCTTCACCCCTTTCCCTCCGTGCAGCCTTGAGTAAAGTGGTCAATCTCTCAATATTAATTGATTCAGCCCCAACCCCAAGTATATATCCCCTGTGGTAGGGTGAATAAAGGCCCTTAAAAATGCCCATGTCCTCAGTCCCCAGAACCTGTGAGTGCTGCCTCATAGGGCAAAATGGACTTGCAACTCAAAATTAATGATCTCAAGATGGGAGAGATTATCCTGGATTATTCAGGTGGGCCCAATAAAATCACAGGAGTCCTTATTATTAGAAAGCAGGGGAAGATTTGACTTCAGAGAAGATGATGCGACCAAAGCAGAGAAAGAATGAACCATGCTAAGATCCTGGCTGTGAAGACTGGGGGAGGACTCATGACACAAGAAATGCAAGGAACAAAGTCGATTTCAAGGAAGTGCATTCTGCCCTCAGAGCCTCTGTCGGAGCCAGCCACGCTGGCACCTTGATCTTAGCCCAGTGACACTGACTTCGGACTTCTGGCCTCCAGAAGTGTAAGAGAATAAATGTTTTACTTTAAGCCACTAAATTTGTGTAATTTGTTACAGTAGCCATAGAGAACTAATACCTTCCTCCCAACCAAAGGAGCTTTTTCAGAGCAGTGAGCCAGTTGTCAGCAGACTTGTAAGCAAGATGAATAGCAGCCACACCAGGTGTTGGCAAAGTGGCCCAAAGCAGGTTGTATGATTCGCTTTAGATTAACTTTAGCAGTGACAATCTTAATGTAAGCATAGTAATTTAAACAGGAGGGAGAGCTTCTTTGAAACAGTAAATATTGACTTTGATAAATAATAAAAATATAAAGCCCACAGTTAGTTTAGAGTAGCCAACAGTTGTAAAAGCTTTCAGGCTCAAGTGAATGTTTCTGTTGCATAATTTTAGAAAAGACAGTGATAAGTAAAAAGAAAAACATTTTTAGCACAACTTCCTATCAAAATGGATATTATACTAGCATTTAACATTTGCTAGATAAAGATGAGTTTTTACTTGTTTTAGCAATTCAAATTTAACCTATTGTAATCCTTACTGAAACATAGCATAAATGACTAAAAGAGGCAAAATATTGGGTTGACCGAAAAGTTCGTTTGTTTTTTTCCGTAAGATGGCTCTAGTAGTGCTTAGTTGTTCTTAATTTCATTTGAAACATTTTGTTAGATTGTATTGTGGCAGCTGTCATATCAGCATGTATTTAAAAAATGAAAATTGGTGAATTATTTTGTGTAGCCACTTTAATATTGAATATGGAAGAAAATAAGTAACATTTTTAGCATGTTATGCTTTATTATTTAAAGAAAGGCAAAAACACAATTTTAACACTTTCACTTTAAATTGACTTTAGCACTGACAATCTTAATGCAAGCACAGTAATTTATGATCAAAATCCACACTGAAGTAATTCCATCCGTTTCTCTCTAGACTCTGTTTCTCTCAGGATGGTAGCACAAGGGGAAAAAGTCCAACATCATTGAGGTGCCTTTTACTCATTGATGCCATCTTGAGGTAGTAATTTAAAATTGAGTCCTGCCCAAGAACAGGGCTCAGTGAAGGGAATGAATGAAGTCACGCGACCTTTATATGTCGGCAGGTCAATTTCTACTCTTGAAACACATCTTTGGTAAACTTATTAATGTTTATAGTTCTTTTGCTGACAGTGTGGGAGAAAATAAGTAATAAAGAGGATACAGGTAATTTCTACACAGGATTCTGTCATTCTCACAGGATCAAGTTGGTTTTCACTATACTATGTAATCTGAAATGTCATGCATTCTCTCCTTATTGTTTTTCTTTACCACTGGTTGG